ATTCTTTTCCGTCGCCTGTAAAGGGAGCGCCTGTCTCTTTCTATTTTACATCTACTCCTCCTTTTTCTTAGAGGAATAAGCCTTGTGCATACATCGAGTGCCACCAAGTTAATCTGTTCTAGGCATAAGTTGGGGTCTGTGTTGCTTAGTATATCTTCCCAGCTTATATCGGTTAGGACTTGGTTTACTTGGTCTCACTTTATGTTTTTGTTATTGAAGTTAAATTTGGTGAATGCTCCCTCGTGAGTAGTCTCATTATGTCGGTCTGGGGCTCCATGCACACATGTCTGAACCTCAATTATGTTGTGATCTGAGTATATTGTTTTTGATATGGTGACATTTCTTATCAGATCATCATTGTTAGTGAAGATGAGGTCTAGTGTATTCTCCAGTCTAGTAGGCTCTATTATTTGCTGGTTTAAATTGAATTTTGTGCAGAGATTTAAAAGCTCGTGTGAGTGTGAGTTTTCATCAGAGCTGCCTCCTGGTGTTATTACTGCAACAATATCATTTGCTATATTCCTCCATTTTAGGTGCCTTAAGTTGAAATCCCCCAGGAGCAAGATGTTGGGTGCAGGAGCTGAAAGATTTTCCAGATAGTGGTCAATTTTTAACAGCTGTTCCTGGAATTGCTGGGATGTTGCATCCGGAGGCTTGTAGACTACTACAATGACTAGGTTTTGGTTCTCGACCTTTACTGCTAAAACTTCCACTACATCATTTGAGGCATTAAGAAGTTCTGTGCAAACAAGTGACTCTGCAATGTACAGGCCAACCCCCCCCCCCCCCTTTTGCCTGTTCACTCTGTCACATCTGTTTTAGGTTGTAACCTGGGATCCATATTTCGTTGTCCAAGTGATCCTTTATGTGGGTCTCAGTGAAAGCCGCGAACATTGCCTTTGCCTCTGCAAGCAGTCCACGGATGAAAGGTGTTTTGTTGTATATTGTATAGACCCTGTATATTTGCAAAGAAGAATGTCATCGGACTTGTGGTATTGTTGGTACTGGGGGGGATTTTTTTTTCCGGTATTAGTATCTGTATCTGCCCTGTACGTCAACATGACCAGGGACCCAACAAAAAACAATATCTTTATGCTTGGTAAAGATGCGGTGTAGCCAAAGTTGGATACGGAGGACTAAGGGATGAGGTGTATCAAATTTCTGTATAGCCTGTAAAGCACTAAGGGAGTCTGAGACAACCACAAATGATGACACAGGCATAGATGCAAGGCATGCTAATGAAATGTGCATAAATTTTGTCGCTCTGGAAGTTAAATTGTGTTTGAAACTTCCCAAATAGGAGCCGAAATTGTTGAATTTGCAGTCCTACATAATGTGAGCATTAAGCAGATGGACAGGACAGCTTAGGAACCCCAGCTAAGTCATTGTCTATTTATATTGAGATTCTGGCCAGTATTTTCTTCATATTTAGGCAGAGGGAGTATGACACACCGTAATCTCCAGACTAATTGGTGAGTCTTATTATTATAAATTCTCCTTTAATGTATATGTATTCACATTTTAAATTTAATATACAGTCCACATATTTATATTAATGTTTTTACCAGAATTCCTGGTGATGTATATTTCATTTGAAATTAATATAGGTCCAGAGTGACTAGTGGATATGACAGTAGTAGGTATCGAAGGGGGACATTTTTTGCGACCTAGGTGTCCTAAAATTCCTACTTGTCTCTGTAACCTTGATAAATAATAATTATCTTTGTTACCATTTACTGGTATGTACCTTATGAGTTACATCCAGGTAAATTTAATTTTCCACACTTCTTGTCGAATAAGGCAAGCGAAAATTTGTGTATGCAATAATTTCGCAAAAATCATTCTGAACCTGACGAATAAATATATTTCATTTGTTCGTTTATTATTAAATCATTGTAAACTTATATAAAATATATTTAGTTGGATTAGGCTGAATTATATTGCGCTTATTATAATATATATATATATATATATATATATATATTATATATATATATATATATATATATATATATTATATATATATATATATATATATATATATATATATATGTATACATATATGTATAATATATATATATATATATATATATATAATATATATATATATATATATATATATATATATATATATATATATATATATATATATATATGTATGTATACATATATGTATATATATGTATATATATATATATGTATATATATATATATATATATATATATATATATATATATATATATATATATATATATATATATATATATATATATATATATATATATATATAGATATAGATATAGATAATATGAGAGAAAGAGAGAGGACTTATATGGCGATACCGAGGCTATCTGCTGAGAACTGTCTACTATTGTCTTGTGTATTCTCTATGTGTAGAAGTCAAGGAGAGGAAAGCAGGGGAGGAAGGGAGAGTCACATAGTAAATCTGGCAAAGAAGGCGTCCAAGAAGCTTACAAAATTTATGCGTATCTCGCATCTGCTGGACAGCAGAGGTTGTAAGACTGTACGAGGCACAAGTCATTCACACCTTGAGTATACTTCACTTTCTTGGCCTGCCTGGCCCCTCATCTCACCTATGACCTCTTGACAGAATAAAGAACAGCAATACGACTCATTTCTCGTCTGGACCCGGCTTGGGCAGATTGGTCATTTCAGCAGAGCCTTGATCACTGATGGGATGTGGGTGGTCTTACAGTTATGTACAAGGTCAGTGTCGTTAAGGTACCACACTTGGCTCCACTTCGTGGTCAGCGATAAAAGAGCTTCTGCACAACAAGACGGGCAGCGAACGGCAACTGCACTCTCTATACCTTTCTCAAGAAGATCACTTCTTCTGAGATCATACAGTCCTAGAATGACTCGAGTTTGGAACATGTTCGCGCAGCACAATGACATCGATGAAATAAAGTCAGTTAACTAAATGAAATCGCTGGTTCACACTGGGAGCCAACGTTATCTTGTTAACTTATTTGTAGGTCTCATAACAATAAAATACCTCTCAAACAAGCTGAATGTAGGTTACAGCTCTTAAATAAAGCTAAGAACTCATTGCCTAACCCTGTAAAACTATTGTGTAAATAAAAGAAAGAGAAAGTACACCGGGGAAGGCAGATAGCTACTAAAGAAAGTACACTGGGAAAGGCAGATAGCTACTAGAGAAAGTACACTGGAAAGGCAGATAGCTACTAGAGAAAGTACACTGGGAAAGGCAGATAGCTACTAGAGAAAGTACACTGGAAAAGGCAGATAGCTACTAGAGAAAGTACATTGGGAAAGGCAGATAGCTACTAGAGAAAGTACACTGGAAAAGGCAGATAGCTACTAGAGAAAGTACACTGGGAAAAGCAGATAGCTACTAGAGAAAGTACACTGGGAAAGGCAGATAGCTACTAGAGAAAGTACACTGGAAAGGCAGATAGCTACTAGAGAAAGTACACTGGGAAAGGCAGATAGCTACTAGAGAAAGTACACTGGGAAAGGCAGATAGCTACTAGAGAAAGTACACTGGGAAAGGCAGATAGCTACTAGAGAAAGTACACTAGGAAAGGCAGATAGCTACTAGAGAAAGTACACTGGAAAGGCAGATAGCTACTAGAGAAAGTATACTGGGAAAGGCAGATAGCTACTAGAGAAAGTACACTGGGAAAAGCAGATAGCTACTAGAGAAAGTACACTGGGAAAGGCAGATAGCTACTAGAGAAAGTACACTGGGAAAGGCAGATAGCTACTAGAGAAAGTACACTGGAAAGGCAGATAGCTACTAGAGAAAGTACACTGGAAAGGCAGATAGCTACTAGAGAAAGTACACTGGGAAAGGCAGATAGCTACTAGAGAAAGTACACTGGAAAAGGCAGATAGCTACTAGAGAAAGTACACTGGGAAAGGCAGATAGCTACTAGAGAAAGTACACTGGGAAAAGCAGATAGCTACTAGAGAAAGTACACTGGGAAAGGCAGATAGCTACTAGAGAAAGTACACTGGAAAGGCAGATAGCTACTAGAGAAAGTACACTGGGAAAGGCAGATAGCTACTAGAGAAAGTACACTGGAAAAGGCAGATAGCTACTAGAGAAAGTACACTGGGAAAGGCAGATAGCTACTAGAGAAAGTACACTGGGAAAAGCAAATAGCTACTAGAGAAAGTACACTGGGAAAGGCAGATAGCTACTAGAGAAAGTACACTGGGAAAGGCAGATAGCTACTAGAGAAAGTACACTGGAAAGGCAGATAGCTACTAGAGAAAGTACACTGGGAAAGGCAGATAACTACTAGAGAAAGTACACTGGGAAAGGCAGATAGCTACTAGAGAAAGTACACTGGAAAGGCAGATAGCTACTAGAGAAAGTACACCGGGAAAGGCAGATAGCTACTAGAGAAAGTACACTGGAAAAGGCAGATAGCTACTAGAGAAAGTACACTGGGAAAGACAGATAGCTACTAGAGAAAGTACACTGGGAAAGGCAGATAGCTACTAGAGAAAGTACACTGGGAAAGGCAGATAGCTACTAGAGAAAGTACACTGGAAAAGGCAGATAGCTACTAGAGAAAGTACACTGGGAAAGGCAGATAGCTACTAGAGAAAGTACACTGGGAAAGGCAGATAGCTACTAGAGAAAGTACACTGGAAAGGCAGATAGCTACTAGAGAAAGTACACTGGAAAGGCAGATAGCTACTAGAGAAAGTACACCGGGAAAGGCAGATAGCTACTAGAGAAAGTACACTGGAAAAGGCAGATAGCTACTAGAGAAAGTACACAGGGAAAGGCAGATAGCTACTAGAGAAAGTACACTGGAAAAGGTAGATAGCTACTAGAGAAAGTACACTGGGAAAGGCAGATAGCTACTAGAGAAAGTACACTGGGAAAGGCAGATAGCTACTAGAGAAAGTACACTGGGAAAGATAAAGAGAGTAGAGTAATACAGCAGGACAGGGGTGTTGAATCAGTGATAACACACCTCATATCTGATCGCAGTGTGTGCAGCCATTTTAGTCACCCACAAGGTGTGTGTTCGCGCACACACACGCTCTCACTTGGACACTAGGGATTCCTAGTTAGGGATATTCTTCCTAACATTATACAGATCTGTATATATATTCGTGTGTGGTTACCACCTATATCTTGACCCTGAGAGGCAGTTGTGATTGTTTTATCTGATACAAAAAATCTTGTGTTTATGTCCATCTCACGTGCACACACAAAACAAGTAAGTGTTTATATAGGTTTTACAATGTAAATATGTAGGTTTTATATAGAAAATTTCGGAGAATTGAACCTAGGATAATTCGATTAAGTGAAATAAACAAGAAATAAGTGTAGCTAATATTGTGTTGGGATCGGTTCAGGTAAGAACAATAAAGTTCTGTTATCTGGTGTGTATTGTTCTCCGTTCCCTCGTGTTCTCTGTTATTCTCTCTTGTTCTCTAGTCACATGGTGTTTATATGAAGGGAGGTGAGGAGGATGCTCATTCCCTGTTTGCTCCTAGTATAAACATGACAATAACTTCTCTCAGGAAGGTAAGATGAACAATTAACACGGAGGGTCTAATTTTCTTTATACATATTTTCTAGTGGTTTGCGCATTTCATCTTTTACGAATATTATTAAAAAAAGTAATTTCAACTCTGAATCATTACACCTATATATATATATATATATATATATATATATATATATATATATATATATATATATATATATATATATATATATATATATATATATATAATACACATATAGCATAGCTGACGTGTGTGACTGGAACCCATGACTCCAGTATCGTAGCCAAGCCGAAATATTCAGATATATCGCGCCCCCTGAAGTTTTAAGTTTGTTCTCTCCTTAGAATTGGCTTGCTGCTAAGTGAGAGAACACTCGTTTAGGACACATACATACCTGTGTATATATATATATTCATAATGCGTAGTGTGAGGACATTCAGGAGATAAGGTAGGTTATCAGGGTGAGACTGTACACACATTATCTCTGCCCCCACACCACCTACAGTTATTGTACTGCTGCCTCTCTCTCCCTACCTCCTCCTCTCTCCCAATTTCCTTCTCTCTCTCCCTACCTCCCTCCCTCTCTACCTACCTCCCATTCTCTCTCTCTACATTACATCCTCCCTCTCCCTACCTCCCTCCCTCTCTCCTGTCCCATGCATCCCACGCAACAGATACACTGTCTACCAAGATTATTATATTATGGGTAAGCGCAAATCCCGTCTTACACCGCCTAGGGAACGAGAGGTAATTAGATTTAATCCAAGAACGGTAGGGAAGCTTCACTTCCTTGGATCAGGAGACCTTTAAAGCGACCTCCCCACTCCGCACAATAAAGGGATACCGTCTACAAATACTATCAGTGTATGAACATCGAGAGGAGTGTATATTTTTTGTATATACACATTTATTAAAGTCACGTTTATTCCAGTGTGAGCTTTATCATGTAACATATAAGGATTTACACTAAGTGAAACGTGGCTTTAACAAAAACTAGCTCTGTCTCCCTGAATTACGACAGTGACGGTGGTTGTCCTTCCATGGATGGTATGGCATACTGACGAGAAGTATGAAGATAAACACTGGCTGCGGAACAAGTTTTGTTGATACAACCTATACCTGCGTAAAGCTTTATCGCGTCATGTGTAGAGCTCTGTCTCTTCTTGACTCTGTCTAGACCTTCATCAAGTCATGACTTGATGTGTGAAGCATCACTAATGGCAAGGGAAGCGAGCTTAAATGCTGAGGCACTTCATGAATCTGGAGGAAGAGTAATGAGGCGAGAAAGAGGAAGGGGATGAGGGAGAAAGGCCAAGAGGGAGAAGATCAAGAAACAGAGCGAAGATGGAGAGAAGAGGGTTGGTAAATGGGGTTAAAGCCTATCGACTATACGGGGGGGGGGAACTTAGGCTGCATGTCCCCCCCTGTTCACCAGTCAATGTAAATATACCAAGAGGTATACACATGGTGTTTATATCTTGTGAAAAGGAACAACTGCTGTTACTACCAATATATCCTATCTACCAACAACATAGCTACTTCATAAATATCTTCACTGGTGATACCTGTTGCCCTAAGCACTAATTATTATTAAAACAACAACAACTTTTTATGACAAGGTATTTGATGTTACATCAGCAGGACTCAAGAGGACGGTGACAGAATATAGACACGAGGCTAGTGACAGAATATAAACAAGATGGGATGTAGCAACAATCAGCGGTATGCCAGAGACAGTATTTGTGGAAAACTTCAACTACACCTCTACAACCAAGTACACCGAGGGTTGTGTAGCTCTCAGTGTGTATCCAGTGAGATACATATGTATCACTTAATGCAAATAAGATCAATGGATACCACACGAGTCTTCAGAGTGTATCACTTAATGTATAAACACCAAGAGAGTATATCACTCGGTGTATAAGTAATGAGGGTGTGTATCAGCATATATGAACACCGATAGTTTTAATTTTTTTTTTACTTAAAGCAGGGGTCTCCAAACTTTGCACTATGAGGGCCACATCGTATATTTTACACATTTGCGCGGGCCAAAGAAGAAAATTCAGTCTTACAACAATAATTATTTCTAGAAGTACATGTACAAGGTATACAGTCCTATTGTTAGGTAAGACACATATAGTCCTACAGTCCTAGCTGACATCAGTGACATACTATATACCAAGCCCCCTGTTATGCAGAGCATTTCGGACAAATTAGGTCAATTTTGTCCTAGGATGTGACCCACACCTGTCGACTAACACCCAGGTACCTGTATTACTGCTAGGTGAACATGGACAGCAGGTGTCTTAAGGAAACGTCCTAGTGTTTCTCCCCGTACCGGGGATCGACCCCCGGACCTCAGTGTGTGAGCTGAGTGCGCTAGTAATTGAGATACGAGACACTTAAAGTATAATGTAAATTATAATATAAATAATATAAAATATAATATAAATAATATAAAATATAATATAAATAATATAAAATATAATGTAAATAATATAAAATATAATATAAATGAATGAATAAAATTTAAATGAATGAATAAGTTTTATTTGGATTCATTTTGTAATTAGGATGATAAAAAAAAAAAAAAAAAAAAAAAAAAAAAATAGGATGATATGATTCAGAACAAAAGAGAAATGTGACAACTACGAAGAAATAAGAGTGCTTACACTGAGAATGATATATAATGAGTAAAACTGTTAAACATAAGCCAATGCTCTGACAGTATAATCAGTTACTGAACTTTGGATGAGAAAGCTGGTACAAGATTACTGGGAATAATGGAACTGGTTTTTAAATTTCAAAATGTTGCCGAACTGAGGTTTCAAGTTTCTGGAGCCAATTATTAAAATAGACTTTTAATGCTCATCAGATACATTTATGTGGTATTTAAACTTTACATACATCATTTTTGAAAACGTTTGTTCACAAAGGTATGTTGTACCAAAAACTGATACAAATCCACAAGCAAATCGCTTCAAATTTGGAAACTGTTCAGGTTGTCAAGATTTATAAAACTGGATCAGATTTCCTTCTTGATGCTTTTCTTTCAGTATGTCATCTGATTGAAGATCAATAATTTCCATTTGAAACTGACCTGGGAGTGTTTCAACACTGAGTCAAATGGATTATGGAACAGCTTTATTCCATCTGTTTTTCCATCAAGAACAGAAAATCATGTCTTTAATTGTTTTTGTTAGTCATTAATGATTTCTATTGCAAATGAAGAAGGAAATTCCGCTTCACTTTCTTCATGTAATTTTTCGAAACATGGGAAACGAACCAAGTTAGAAACTTTCACCTGTCCTTCAAATAGCTTCAGTTTTGCCCTGAATGCCTTGACATGCGTGAATAAATCACAAATCAAATTTGTTTCACCTTGCAACTTCAGATTCAATTGATTCATATGGCTTGTCACATCTGCAAAAAATGCCAATTTCCAAATCCAGTCATCGATTGATACGAGTGGTTTGGATCGATTCTTCTCTGTGAGAAATGAATCAATTTCTTTTCTGAGCTGAAAGAACCATGATAGATCATTTCTACAACTAAGCCATCGAACTGCTGTATAATAAGCCACGTCCACGAACCCATAATCAGTTTCTTTTCGAAAATCAGGAAATTGACGATGATTAAATTCCGTGAGATTGAATGAAATACACTGTTGAAACAACAGGTTTCAGAACGAAAAACGTATCCACATATTTTCCGCACAATGGTTGCTGATGGATAACTCGGTGCAGAAACATGGGATCTGAGAATCTATCATCCTCACAAGCTTTTGTGATTTATTCAATCAAACCTTTCTTCACCCAAGATATGTTCTTTCCGTCACCGATTGTCACGTATTACAGTTTATTCCACTCCAGGTTATATTCTAATAGTTTTTTTTTTTTTGCAAATCTTTGAAAATGATTTCTCCGGCTTGCATGCTGTACATGCTGTGTATTGATACTAATTCTTGTGTGACATTAAATTCATTGTCGACGCCATGGATGAATACCTGATTCATCAAGTGCAAGAGAATGAAACTAAAAATTTCGTGTTTTGTCTGCAGTTTGATGAAATATATTGCTTCCTATATCTTCAATTCTACTAACAATAGTATTTAGCGCAAGAATGAGGATTTTGCTTATTCTGGACATAACTCTGCCACAGCTTCCATCATACACTCTTTGATCAGATCTCCATCGGTGAATGGCTTTCTTCTTTTAGCTAACATATAAGCTACTTTGTAACTGGTCCTGGTTAAACATTCATTTTCATCTCTCTTCTGCGTAACAAAAACTCGTTGGGAAAGCAACCTGTGTTGCATTGATTCAGATTTTTCCGAAGGCTGTGTTCCTGTGATTTGGAAATAACGTGGTGTATGTTTGGTCTCATAGTGCCGACGTACATTGTACTCCTTCAAAACTGTAACAGTTTCATGGAATACGACACACAAGGCTTTATCGGAAGATCGATACCATGCCTAACCCTTCTAGGGTAGGGTAGGTGCCTGAGCCCGAGCCTTTAGCTCATAAGACTGTCAGTCCCCTTGGGGCGGGGATGGCAGACCAGAGAGGCCTAGCTTGTGGCTAGGCCTGGGGACAGTTGGTCTCAAAGATGAGGAGGTACTTGTGCCTCCTCATCAGTGCAGAGTGAGTGCCGTCTGTTTAATGTAAAATGAGGTGTAAAGTAATTCTTCGTACAAGCAGGTGAT